TGCTCCATCCTGCGGATGCACCAGCTCGGGACAGGTGCACAGACAATATTCGAAGCTCAGGGGGATGTGTATACGCTGCCAGGGACCCAGGGCGCCTTTGTGTGCCCCAGGGTGAAAAGCACCGTGGAAATACTTGAAACATTTGGAACAGAAAGTGGACTTTACAGAGGTTTTGGTTACTTTCCTTACTGTTGGAAAAGTGGTTTAAATTTTCTTGCTAGATCTTTTGCAGTTGGCACGTACGAGATGCCTGTGGTGTAAACCCATGCCCAGCGCCGTGGTACTTCTCTCCGCCCTCCTGGGACGGAGCCCTTCGTATCCTGCGTCTTCCCATTCCCCTTCCCCTGCTGTCACCTCCGCCTGTGCCGGGGACTTCCCTGGTGCTGTGTGTGTTTCCAGAATGCTGGTCCTGTCCCCGAGAGCGGGGCTGTTCCACCCCGCCGCGCAGCTCTCTGTTGGTGGGACCAGCTCTGCTCCCAGCACCTTGGCCGGCTGCTGACTTTCCCTGGGAGGGTCTCGGTTGGCTTCCCGTGGGTGCTGCGAGTGCTGGCCCTGATGGTCCTTTGTCCTTGGTGGTCACAAGCCGCTTCATCTCCTGGCTTTAACAACTGCTCCTCGTGTTTGTCAGAGGTTTGTGTGCTGTGGATGCTCGGGGCTGGGCTGCAGGCGGCCCAGGTGGTTGTGTTGGGGGGTGCTGCCCCGGTGCTTCATGAGCCGCCTGTGCTTTGCTCTGTGCCCTGTTTGCTGGCAAGGCTTTGATTTTCTTCTCCCGTCATCCTTGGGCAGCTGGGGTAGATCCCGCTGTGTAGGGTAAGCCTTGTCCCTGGGTTACGCTTCCTTCTCCCATCGCATCCTTTCGGGGTGGCTTCATAGCCATGAGACTTGGTGCGGCACCGCGCTGTGCTCTGCTGCTGCTCCGACTCCGGGCTGGTGGCCCTTTCGTGTTATCCAGCTTGCGCTGGCTCCTGCCTTAGAAACACAGCGTCGGGACTGTTAAATGAAGGGCGCTCTTTTTCTCATTCTCCGTAGCTGAGCCAGGAGCAGTGGAATCGATATGAGCGATGGCTGAACATCACACTCGATATCTACAGCATTTTGAAAGGTCTTACAAATGAACCAGGAACCCATATATCAGTGAAGTACGGGCTTTTCTCCTTTCCTTGCAGCCCAGAAAGGGGATGTGCTGTACCCCAGTTATAACGGAGGCATCCCCGAGGTCCCTGCTTTGCAGCATCGCGGCGTCTCTCAGCCTGACCGGAGCGGAGGACATCCTTGTCCCCCTGACTCCCCCAGTCCTGCAGTGAAGCTGGGGCAGGTTTTGCTGGTCCCCATCTCTTTTTCATCCAGAAACAGATGATTGAGGGAGAGGAGATGAAGGGGCTGCTCTCTGCTCTGCTGCCTTCGTGGTTTTTGGGTGCACCTGGGGAAATCTTGCCTAAACTCTGAAGATAAGGATGGGGCGCAGACCCGGTACGGGACTTGCTCTGCTCTCGCTTTTTGCGTTCGCTTTGGGCAATGCCACCTCTCGGAGCCGCTCGCCTCCTCTACCTTCCCTGGGGGAACGGTGGGATGATCTGAAGGAATGCTGTGTTATATTCACCGCTTGATTTTGGGTTGGTTTTCTGGTTTTAAGTCAGCCAAGTGTTCTGGAGTTGCAGGAATAACTATTTCTGCTGTACCTGAGATGCTGATCGTGGAGTTTTCTGCCCTCTGAAGACGTGATGATGGGTTTGAGTAAAGGCTGTTACTCTCCCTGTGTCTTTGTGACCTTTCCCTGGGCTGAAATAGTTTACCCTGCCCAAAGCAGACCCTGCAGAGCCCCCGCCAGGTTCGCTCCGGGTGCAGGACGCATTGACACTGTGCCTGGCTCCCATGGCCGTGTGCGGCAAGGGGAGGTTTGGTGCGTGGCCCTTGCTGGGGGCACCAGCACACCGCTCCCTGTGCCACCCCCCATCGCTCAGCCTTAGCAGCCCTGAACCAAATCCCAGTGGTGGGCACAGGAGCCCTCCGGACTCCTCCTCAGGGCTCTGGGTGACGTCCCCCATCGCTCCTCTGCGCCACGCTCTGCTCCTGGGGGATGCGGTGGCCACGACCCCCAGCCCCGGCAGAGCTGCAGGAGGAGGCAGGAGGTCCCCCTGCCCACGGTGATGGCGGGTTAGTACGGTCCGGGGGTAACCATGGAAACTGTGTGGTTTTTTTTTTTTTCCCCCCCTCCATCCCTCCCTTTGCAGATGACTCGGGTGATGAGGAGCCCGCCTCGCAGTCAGACAAGAGCGAGCTGCACGGCACGTTGAAAACCCTCTCGAGTAAGCTGGAGGATCTGAGCACTTGCAATGACCTGATCGCGAAGCACGGGGCGGCCCTGCAGCGCTCGCTCAGCGAGCTGGAGAACCTGAAGCTACCGGCTGAGAGCGGCGAGAAGATCAAGGCGGAAAAAATCCGCATCACCTCCAATGCTATGATCAACGTAAGTGCTGCCGGCCGAGTCGCCGCGGTTGGAGGAGGCAGGGGGAGAAGCGTTTTTCTCCTCCTCTTCCTCCATCGTCCTCCTTCCCTCCGGCACGGCCCCGTTTTCTCCCCGTGTACCAGCTTTCTGCAAGAGCTGTGTGTTGGCTCGTGTTAGCACAGGGCTCGGTACCGGCTCAGCACCACGGCGAAGGGATGGGAAGTTGGGCAGATGCAGTCCGGGGAGCGGGCATGGGCGCCTGTATCCCCTGGAGACACGGATCTGCCACATCTTTACAGCGTCCTTTCCAGGGAGGCTGCTCCAAAGCAGGACATTATGGATGTAAAGCCAGGTAAAGTGGAGGCTTGGGGTGCAGGGGGGGTTTTGGCCGTTCCTGGGGGTGGCTCCCTGGCTGTACAACACTTCGGAGCCTGTTGCCTGCTGCGGATTCAGATCCACGTCCCCACATCGCTCCCGTCCTCATTGACTTCCATGAAGCTGCCCTTGTTTTACATGACCGGGGGATTTAACCCTCTCGGGGTCCGAGAGCTGTCTCGGGCCGGCTGTGCTCTCCCAGACCGGCTGGTCAGAGGTCGTGGGCTGGCACCGGCGCTGCTCCCTACCTTGTGCAGCGTGACGGTGCTTTCTGATTATTTCTTGGGTGGCTTCTGTTTGGGGTGTGGATCTGCCTCCGTCGCAGTGAGACAGCCCTTCCTGGGGAACCGTATTTTCCCTCGGGAGCTCTGGGGAGGGGAAGAGAGAGCAAAACTAAATAAAATATTTAAAGCAAAAAAACCCCAAAGCCTAACAGACTTGGAATAATATATGAAGGCAGAGCTTGGGGAATTGTGAATGGAGCAGTGCTGTCGCCGTGCTGTCCCAGCCCTGAGCAAAAGGAGGTTGTGTGTTGTTTTATGTGGGCTTTTAAAAAACAATAATAATCCACAGCGGGAGCCGAAGGGCTCTTAGGAGCCCCATGAGTGCAGCATCCTGCCTGTCCCCCCGCGCAGGATTTTGTAGCCGTGGGGGGACAGGGCTTCCTGAGAGGGGGTCTGGTGTTTGGGGGTGCCCGTGCAGCGCTCTCCCCGCGGAGAGTTTGTCGAAGTTGTCGGAGCAGGGATGGCAGCGTGTGGCGAGCGGTGCAAGGTGACGGCGGAGCCCTCGGCGCTGCCGGGAGCAGCGGAGGTTTTGCTATTAGAAGGCAGACTGGCGATGGGATGTGGGCAGGGAATTGCTGGGGAGAGGGTTTCTCCAGCAGCCTTTTGGGAAGAGAAGAGCAGAGCAATATGTGCTGCGTCCAGCCTAGAGCGCAGGAGGTTACAGTGGTTGTGCCGTGACAAAAGCGAGGCTGTCTGGACAGTGGGAAATAGCACAAAAACTGTTGTGCAGGGGAAAAACGTTGGAAACATGGTTTGTCCAAACCACTGAGCAGGTAAGAGGGGCCAGGGAGGAAGCGAGGCCCGTGGTTGCAGGTGGATGTCAGGGACCTGTCTTTAACAGCATCTTTTAGTACTTCAGCTCGTGGCTGGGTGTCTCGAGGAGATGTCTGAAGGGGAAGGGCTGTACCGGGGAAGACGCAGGACAGGAGCAGAGTGACAGCTCTGGGGCGGTGGTTGCAGCTCTCCCAGTCTGCTGAGGAACCTGTCATTTTGGGGGGAGGTGATGGACCTGGGGGCAGGGGGACACGGACCCCGACAAAGCAGCAACACTTTGCAGGTGGGGCGGATTAGAAAGGCAGGAGGAGGGTGAGCAGGGCAGGGTTGTGGGAGCCAGGAGAGAGGGGGACCCGTCACCTTTTCCTGCATGAATCCCTGGTTGCGCCTTGATTTATCCTTTTAGTATGGGGTGATGGAGCTGCTGCACGGACCCTGCCCGGGCAGTCTCGCATGGGGTGGGAAGCGGCTCTGTGCAGTGCAAAGGTCCCGAAATCTTCTGTATTGAAACATTAGCCATGGTTACAGGGGAGCACATGGAGTCAAGCCGTCTCCTGGCAGTAGGTGAAAATACACCCTGCTCCTGCCCACCTCGGTCCCCGCAGGCTTCTCAGGGCCGCATGTCCCATGGGAGCACAGGGTGCTTTCGGTGGGCTGGTAGTTCCTTGCAGGAGAAATTAAACTGCCCTTGCTTGCCAGCTTTTCCCTGGGGAGGTTACAGCCAGCAGCGAGGGGCTGGTGCCGGTGTGTGGATGCTCCACATCCACGCTCTGCCCCGGCCGCAGCACCAAACCTCGCTGATCCGCCCCACCGGGCACAGCCCACCCTGCCTCCCTGGGCATCACCTCTGCCCGCGCAGCAGAGATCCCCTTCTGCAGGAGATGCTGTGGCTCAGCTCCGCGGCTGGGGACGGTGACACGCAGCCCTGCTCGTTCGTTGCCGAGATTATGCTGGGTTCACTTCTTTTTCAGGTGCACCCCTGAGCAGTTTAGGGGGGTTCAGACCCACGAGCTGCCGGCTACAGCAGATCCCCAGGAGCCGTCTGCCCCTGCCGTCTTCCCGAGCAGTGCCAGGCTCACAGGAGCAGCCCTGGGCTCAGCACTTGGGCCCCACTCCTGGCTGGGACCTGTGTGGCCAGTGAGCCCTGGCCGGTGGGCAAGGGACTGGGCAGGGCAGGGCTGGGCTCTGCTGCCTGCAGCGGGAAGGGATGGATGCCCCCGGGCCGGTGCTTGGGGTTTCCATCCAGCCGCCTATGATCCGATGATGTAAATGTCCCTGGAGCTGCGGGGAGTGGCAGCAAGCAAGTAGAAATAAATAAATATGTATGTAAATGAAGGAGCTTCGCTGCGAAGGTGACCTCCTCGGTGCGTGCTCTGGGTGCCTGCCTCGGCCAACTCCGGGTGCTTCTGCTCCGGAGATCAGGAGGAGAAAGTGGCTCGGGCTGCCCCTGGGTGAGTGATGCTCGGGATGACGGAGGAAGGTTTGGACAGAGGTAGAGTGGGATGTGCTGGACCTTTCCATTACGGGTGAGGATCTAAAATGCGGAGAGACTGACTGTTGTAGGGCTCAAATTTAAGCCCAGACCTCTGCGAGCCCCCTGTTTGCTCTGCTCGCATCTGTACTTGGAAATCTCACTGGGTGAGACTCACGGCCGAGTTCAGCCTCACCGGGTCCAAGAGGCCTTGTGTCAGCGGGGCTGTGAGGAGCGAGGAGGAGGAGACGCAGAACAGCACGTCGCAATCTGCCGCGGGGGAGGAGTGGGAGGTACGTAAAAATAAGAAGCAACAAATTAAAGGGGATAATTAGAGGAGCAGAGACGAAGAGCGCTGTGCTGAATTACGTAGACTCGTCCAAAGAGCAGGGGAAGCTGCCGACTCATAATTCAGCAGCAGACAGCAGGCAGGAGGGCCGTGCGAACACGCCGAGGAAGCCAGTTTGGGCATCAGGAAGAGCTCACGGGGCTGTGGGTGGTGCTAGAAATAGGTTTTTGATGGGAATGGGGTTTGCCACCAGGAAGCTCGGAGGCGGCCGAACTGTGTGTGAGTGTGCAATAGCTGCGCTCTTCTTTTGGCCTGCTGTGCGCTTCCTTAAGGGACGTGAGCGTGGAGAGCAGCAGGGCTCGGCTTGGCCCTGTGCCGCTCCTGGGTTAGCTGGCGTTTTCCCTCGAGGTGTATGAGGAGCAGAGGTGGAGGAAGGCTCTGCCGGGCTGGCGTAGCCCAGGCAAGGAGGGGTGGGAGAGGCAGCTGGGGCAGGGCTGCGGTGCTGGGTGGGAGACGCCGAGTGGGCAAGGTTTGGTGAGGAGGGAGCCCTGCGCGGGCTGGTGGGGGGCAGGCGGTCCCAGGGCCCCGAAGGACTCCCAGCCTGCCCTTCGGAGAGGCCACTGCGCTAAAAAAAAACTCGGAGGATGCTGGCACCTGCTTGGAGCCAGACTGATTTCCCCACCTGGGTTTTCCTTTCCCACAGGAATGGATCTGTCTGGAGCACTGGCCTCCCAAGACATCAGCAAAGAGCATCCTTCAACCCTCAGCACTTGCAGGGAGGGTTTTTAATTATGTGAAACACAGTGCTTGACCCAGAAGTGAGATCGGTAACAGTATGTGCTGCTTCTTCTCCGGGGAAGGTGGCTGCGGGCAGTTTATCTCAACCTCTCCAGGATGCCCA